CATTAACTTGATTTCTTTCAGCGTTTCTTCTATTCCAGCATCCAGACGGTGCGATCTTTTAACTTGTCTCCTCTTCGGCGGTTTTCAGTATTTGTTCTGACGTTTTCCTCCTTAGATGAACCCTCTGAAGGTCAGCACAGTGTTCCAGACCTACCGCACTCCCACCTACAGCTGCTACCCCAGAGACTCGTGGCTCGCCCTGGTCAAGAAGCTGTTCGTCGGGGAGCTGATTTACCCCTGGAGGCACAAAACCACCAAAACCGACTGAGAGCCACAAGTGCGATGACAGAGGAAGAGAGGGGGAGGAAGGGGAAGAATCTGAATCAACAAGAGCGTGGAAACAGACGAGAAGAGCTTTGAGATGCGCTGCTTTCATGTTTTGACGGGAAGAGCGTCACAGAGAGAAACTGGCAGGTCATCACGTTGGTGGATTTCTGATCAGTTTTAAATGTGACTATGAGCAACCAGAAACTTAAAAACCAGGAAGTAGCCGCGTCCTACTGTTGTGTTTTAGGCACTGTGATCATAAAGTAACTTGCAGGACTCTGAAAAATAGTGTTGAAACTAATACAATTCCGTTTTTTATTGATATTTAGGAAAAAATGTGAACACTCCTCATGTTTCCCAAAAGAGGTCACTACAGCAGCCAAAACCAACACGGGACCAAAACGTCTGTATGTGCTTGAATAAATGATGGATCTGCAGATAAAATTTAAACTATACTTTCAGTTTAAAGGTTCTTTTTTTTTTTTTAAAGCACAGCACATTTTATTCTTAAAAACACTAGAAAATGGAGATTTATTTGGATGTTCACATGATTTTCTGATTTTTTCGAGTGATAATAAGAGACATACAAAATCCCCTGTGTATGTCAGCAAAATGAAACTGATTTAGAAAGCTGCCTTTATGCAATGTTCACATTTTCATTCTGGAACTGAATGCAAATAAGCTTATTATTGGATATATATAAAACACAATTTAAAGATTTAAACCTAAAACTTCAGAGAACATGTAATACATACAGTAATTATTTTATTGGAAATAATCAACTGGAGGAGTTTTATAGTGATTTTGTTAATATGAGTTAATATTTGTAACTTCCAGTTTTATTCNATGGATGGTTAGATGGATGATCTCCTTAATGCAAAAACAAGTGTATTATTATTTACCTATAAATCAAACAGTTCGGTGTTTATCACTAATGGGTAATCAATTACATGTCTAATCTCGCAGTACAACGATGTCCAAAGGAAACCAGACATCTGGCTTAGATACAACCTGAAAATAACCACTTCAATAAGCCTGTTATTCCTACAATAAAGAAAATGTAGATATTGCATCTCCACCTTTTACATCCGTGTCCTGACTTATACCTGCTGCATAACCGTTAATTAACTTGTGTTTTTGTTCGTTAACCCGTCATGTGTTGTGTTTTTTTGTCTTCATCAGGCTGTACTGTCTGAAGATCTACGGCCTCTCGTCTCTCTGGAGGCTCTTCAGAGGGAAGAAGTGGAACGTTCTCCGGCAGAGAGTGGACTCCTGCTCCTACGACCTGGACCAGGTGACACAGAACATCGTCGCTCGATGCGAAAATTAGTCTAATTTCTGCTCTGAGGAGGAGGCACACAGCATTTAATGGGAAATTTGTTTATGATTGGATGCTGCAAGATTTTATTTGTTGTATTTTATTTTTCAGATTCTAATTTTTTAAACTCTAATATTACAGTCAGGGAGGGGACTATCGCTGTAAAACACTTTATCTGTCACACATGAAGCTGACAATAATCCCACTGCTTTAGATTCCAATATCATTCGTTTTCAGTTTTTTAATCCGTCGTGACCTGGAATAATAAATCATAAAATGACAGGCAGGATATTAATAAATGCAGATGCACGTGAGGGTTTTTCTGTCTCAAATCAGCAGCAGCCTTCTGCTCAACCATCTATTATTTAGTTGAAACTTTTTAATCAATAACTATGAATATTTCAAATGGTATCTGTGAAATCTTAGCTTCATATATCAAGTACTTTCTGAGATTTTTATAAATTTGTATTGAGGATTAAGCGGTGTACGGATAAATTACATGAAGACATTTCTACTGTAAACTGATGCAGATAATGAATGAATTGGTGCATACAAATTGCCCACATTGCAGAAACTAAAGCGTTTCTCCGAGATACAGTTGTTTACTTGGGCGTTTTTTTGTTTTAGCTCTTCATTGGAACTCTGCTGTTCACCGTCCTGCTGTTCCTGCTGCCCACCACAGCGCTCTACTACCTGGTCTTTACTCTGGTAAGATGAGTCACAAGTAAACACTTCGTTGTTTTTTTTTTTAGCAAAAACACAATCCTGGAACAGATGTGGTCGATACATGTGTTTAGCAAAAGGGAAAAATAAACCACACAAGATATCTGGAGATTGTAAAAAGAAGTATTGAATTCAATTCCTTCTTTAAAAAAAGTGTAATTAAATACATGTTTTCTTGCACACTTCAATAGAAAAAAGGAAAGTAAAATGAAAAATAGCCACAGACATCTCGTTTTTCTCACCTGTTTTTTTTTTTACTATTTCATACTTATGGTGCAGTTTGTCACAATGGGAATCCAATTTACCATCATTTGCTGTAAATTCAAACTAATACCAGCTCAGAGCATCTGTGAAGCAGCTACTTAGAAAATTCACAGCCTTTCTGAATTATTTTGAGTGTGTTTGACAGTAATAAATACATCCTGGGTGACTGGCCCAAATCCAGATTTGAACAAAACCAAAGCCAAGCCCTGATTACTTGTCGAAGTTCAGAGGATTCCTTTTGCATCGTGCTCTCATCTTCTACCATGAGTCTTGTTCTTCAGCTTCCTCGCCCATTGATGTGTATAAAATACACCAAAATATATTCTTTTACATCGCTAGAATGTTGTTTTTGAAAGAAAACTGGAAAAACAAAACACACACAATACCTAGAGATCTTTAAAAATGTCGAATTTATTTCTGTCATTTAAAAAATATGTAATTAAACACACGTTTTCCAGCAGACTTAAATAGATAAATGAAAGTAATGTGAAGAATAGCCACCAGTTTTCAGCAGGGTGTGTTTGTTTCTCACACCTGTGCGCCCCTGTGCTCTGCAGCTTCGGTTGGTGGTGGTGTTGTTCCAGGGCGTCCTTCATCTGAGCGTGGATTTCATCAACTCCTTCCCGCTATTCGCCATCGGCCTTCGCGTCTTTCGGCCCTACAGACTGGCAGGTACGACATCTTCACGCTATCCGCAGTAAGAATCTTCTAGAGGTCCTTAAATCAAAGTGTGAAATACATTTTGTTTGCTTGTTTCCACAGAAGGAGTAAAGTTCAGGGTGCTGTGTGACGAGCCGGGCGTCGCTCTTCACCTGCTGATGGAGGTAAGACGTCGCTCTTTGTTCACTTTGTCTTGTTTTCTTCGGGTTTTG